TCGGGGTCGTGATCCAGTTCCAGTAGAATATGATATCCCCAGTGCTAATCAAAGTCAGAGTCGAAGCCAAAGACGAGTTGAAGGTGATGATATGCCTGACATTGCCGTGGATAATACCCCTTTACCTGATTCTCCTACTGTCCAGGAAGAGGACCTTACTCATGATTTTCCAGGAGGACCGACTGATCCATCAATAATGCAGAGTTTCAATAGTCATATCGCTGCAGCTGTTTGGTAGGGGGAGGTAAACATTCCTGAGTAGAAGTGAAATTCATTTGTATATGATTTTTTTTTTTTTTTGTTATATGGTAGTTTCTAAAGAGATATTCATTTGTTTTATAGGAACGAGGGCCCTTAAAGTGTCATAATCACTCTTCGAAGATCCATGCATGGCCATGGTGGTCAGTAGACAACAACACCAAGCTATCGAGGCTGGTTATGAGGACGGGATTTGACATCCTCATCGACTTTACCAAGCTATCGAGGCTATGGTGTATGTCCTTGAAGATCAGCACATTGACGAAGCTGGACCTAGGTCTGCTGGACCTAGTTGTACTGGAGGTCAATTTTTATCTCCGACATTGACATCTAGTCAGAGGCCTAGTCGTAGGCATACAGATGATTCGTGACATGTTATTTGTCAGTTGATGAATTTTTTGTAGTGTTTTTGTAAGTTGACATTGTTATACACATTTTTTAATGACTTTATAAAAGATATTTTGTTATTAGAATGGAATGGTAACAATGGTCGATGACATTGTAAATGATATTTTCTTATTAGAATGGAATGGTAACAATGGTCGATAGCATTCAATCCATGCCACAAAACACATCAACATCAAAAAACACATCCATTAATTTCTTCTATAGTTCTAACATTGTCAAATACATACATGTGTCATTCGACATCAACAACATCAAATGTCTCTCAAGTAGCTATAGTATCATGAATGATGTCCTTGAAATGCTAAATGAGGCGCACATATGCATCATCCTAGTCGACAGCACAAGGGTGACAGTATTTTCGCCAATTAGTGGCTATAGGAGGAACTGGATGGCCTAACTGCAAAAAAACCTTTTCCAAATGTCACTTGAGTTAGTGGTCATACCTCATAATTTCTTGTACATGTACAAAATGATAAGTTTCTCTTATACCTGGACGAAATGATTTCTGTTGACAAACCTAATGGCAATCTCACATCTATCAAGTTGAGGTACTGGCTCTGTTCTAAGAGGTAAAAAGGTGAGACATTGTTGTAATAACAAGTGGTATAACATAAGATTGTAGCACGATGCAACAAGATGCCCCATGTTTGGCATAGTCATCCAATGTGAGTAGCCAAGAATATCTTCTGTATGGCATTCATCAAGGTTAGCTCTTTGTCAGTGACAATAATCGCTGGCAAAACAAAACCATCTGTGACATCACGCAATGTAGCTAACACCCACACACAGTTATTAGCCCTCTCAGACTGTAAGTATGCAAAAGCTACCGAGAAAGTCATTTAGTTGACGTCACTCCCACAATTTCAAGAAGAGAAAGACGATATATGTTGGTTTTATATGTGCAATCCATAATCAATATACCTGGGAAAGACCGAAATAAGTCCAAACTGGTAGGATGTGCCTAAAACAAGTCTGTCACAGTCATCATGGACTCTTCACATCGATGGCGCTCAATGAAATTATACTTGGCCAATTCACCCAATAAGTGTTGCATTTGTGATCTTCTAGCTCTCTCTACCACCTTGTTTCGATGGTACATTGTAAATGGTTTTAAGTGTGCTTATATTGAGGGCATCTCGCTGTTTCAAGTTTATTAGGATCTCTTTTGGCCTAACCATGCTCTTTGGCATATCCATTAACAATGATTTCTCATCCTTTGACTGCCTTCCCGCATATGAATGTCACTCAAGGTGCTCCGCAGGTGGATGATTATGCAATTAACATAGTACGGTCAATGTCCATTCATCATTTGTAGTCAACCTGTGAGCCCTCATATCAAAAAGACAGCTACACTTCTTTGTACCAGTTATTCTTGATGTATTGTTGCCATCTTGTTTTAACTTCTTTGTCGCTCTATATTGGCCACTCCTCTCACAAGCAAGATACATCTTGGGTCTTTTTTCCCCCCACCATAGTCTGATGTTTTGATTATAATGACCAAACAATTTCTCTTTCCAACTTCACGTACCCAGTTAAGCAATTCATCCTTACTTTTGAATACCTACAAAGTCAAATAAATATTATCAAACATTTATATTCGTTGAGCAATTCAAAACACAATCATTATAATTTCGTTGAGTGAACCTATTCAGTTGTGAATTGAGTAGTGCAATCCAACACACTATCCACGCAAACCTAACTTCCTTAAGTTGCGACATATTCCTGCATGTTTTTTATAACATTACAAATTTGAAATGGCATTATAAAGACAAATTTGCAATTTGAATCTGCAAATTTAGTATGCAATTTACGAATTTGGAATAACTATTGAATTTTTTTTTTTTTTAACTTCATTCGGAAGTACAATGTCAAAAAAAATGCTACTGTTCGAATGTAGTTGTCCGAATTATTTTTACCAGTTCGGAAGTTGAATGATGAACACTTTACATTATTTCGGACAACAACTTCCGAAATTAAATAATTATTTCGGTAGTAGACTATTGAATAAATTGATATATTTTGACCCTGGTTTTTCGAAAGACGCTGAAAAAAAAACAAAAACGACTTTTACATAGCAAAACTCACATTTCCTTGACTATCTTTCTCATAAACATTTATCTGAATGAGGATGAGGTTTAGTTTGTAAACTAATGAAAAGCTAAGAATCAAGAATGAGGGTGTTTAGTGTGCAAACTAATGAATGGAAGCTAACAATGAAGGGTTTCAAATGATGAGAATGGAATGTGGAGGTTTAGCAAACTGAGTATGGAAGAATAGAGTAGCTACAATGGACTTGTGGAGCTTCAACAGCTTCAACGTGAGTCTGGATGTTGATTGAGAAATTATGTTTATTTGAATTGTGTGCGATGTCCATAATAATTATTTCACTTAAGGATAAAATTATAATAAAAATAATTATCATTAAATGTGTGCAAAGAGTGGAATGGGGTGCCAACATAAAGGTTTCATGTTGTATTGTAATTTTAGAGTTACGCTTGAAATTTGTTAAGCCTGATATTGGAACGGACCAGTCTTGAAACACATTCTTTCGTTCTTCTTAATTTAGGACGGATCCAAACTAAACCCCATCTGGTCAATGCCCGCCCTTCAAATTAAAGAAAAAGGTAAAAGTAGAGCTAGGGTTTTGTTTTCAGCTTCCAGTTCCCCGCCCTATTTTGGGTGGAAAAATATTTCATTGCGTTAAGGTTACCTAAAGCCCTATCAGGATTACCTGGTCAAATTTTAACATTACAAACCATTTTCAAACAAAACAATACCACAACCCAATTCTTAATACAAAAAAGATAAAAATATAAAACATAAATTTGATAAAAACAACTACTCAAAAAGGCTACTGGTGGTCAAAGTTGGTCTTCTAGGAGGAAGGGAAGGGTGGGAGGAGATGATGGAAGGGGGGAATGAAAACTTGCTTTCAAAACAAGTGAAAATACAATTTTTTATTTTCTAAATTTTAATAAATTTTAAAAACTATTTAAATCATTTTTTATAATGAAAAAAAGTTGTCAAACGTGTTTTCATTTATAATATACAAAATTTGAAAAACTGAGACAAAAAATAGTAAATATAGATGTTATTGAATACCCTAAAGTTGTGGTTCTTAAGATACACAAGTCATTGTAGCCCACCATCTTTATACTTGTACTTTCTACTGAACAATCCCTTGGAGCAATTCTTGGGCAAGAGATAGTGAAGAGAATCCTCTCTAGTCATCACCCAACAATTGACTCAAATGTCACCTAACAATTGACCCAAATATCACAGTTAGTAGTAATGACTAGCTATTGAATTGTAACACTTAAATCAAGTGTTAGATGATGGTTGGATGAAAAAAATATTAGAGATAATCCGGATCCGATAGGTAGATGGCATAGATTGCCTAGTCTATTATTTAGAATTGTTTAGGAAATAGACTATTTTAATAATTTTTTTATTTTTTGACTGAAATATGAAGTGAAAAAAATTAACATGTTTAAGATGTTTCTTTATTTTTTACGAAAAAACGTACACAAAATTAAGAGGAAAATAAATATTTAACTTTCTTGTATAGCTGTTTAATTTTTTGACTATTTTAACGACGACCTGACTTTTTGATTATTATCCAGACTTCCCAAACTTGTCTCTCATAACAAGGTCAAAATGCAATTACACAAAACTCACTAGTGTTTGCACACAAGTTCAATCATTGTTAGATTATGAAGGCTGTTAGTAGGTAGTAGTTACCCTGTAAGTTGAGACACAACTTGTGTTAGTTGGGAAAGACCATAAATAAGAGATTGACTCCATCATACAAAAGGGATATGGATAGATGTTTTAATGACACAAAATAATGCAATAGCGATACGTTATGAGATGGTCAACAACTTCTGATATAATCATCTTAGCCTTATTGTTTAATGAAGATTTTCTTTTTTGCATCCCCTTCTCCAGTGCTCTGTTTTTCTTTTTACCATTGCTCTGTTTTCTTTTCATAGTTTCAAATTGTGCTTTTTTTTTCTTTTTTTCATTTTAAACATGAATACACATCAATAGACCTATCACATTTGTGCAATACGAGACAGGAAACAATTCAATCTTGTTATATAGAGAGAGCATTTGACCAAGCTGCTTGTTCCTGTTGTATCAGAACAGAACTACAAACTGCATGTAGAGGATTAATTGGGCATTCAAGAGGTTTATAGTAATTCTGTGTAGTCTTGATATATATCTACTTGTGCTGCTCCTTCAAGTAACATGTACACAAAGCTACGCTTCATACGATTGTAAGAAAGCCCTGACCACCAAAAGGAAAATGGGAAGAAACCCAACTCTCAAGATGAGGAAAGGCCCTGCTAAATACGATTATCTCTTTATATTTGATGAAACCACTAAATTGAACTTTAATGACAGCTCGCATGTCATAACAAGTTTGGATTAGTCACTTCTCTAAACATTTATGGGTAACACAACTTTAAGTCAATAAACTTTACTTACAAGTTATTGAAATCAGAAAGAAGGAAGGTCATTCATTCATTCAGCCTCTAGGGCTGCAATTTCATACCTAACTTCTTCCAAATGTTCATTTATGGTGGTCACCGCATCCTGCACTCCTCTAATGGCTTCCTTAAGAGCATTATCATACTCTGCATCAGCCTCGGCCTCCTCAGTACCAGCTGCTTCAGTTATCTCATGGACATGCACACACTCATGCTGCATAGGCCTCTTAAATCCGCAGTTCTCATGGCTTACCAGACGTTCTGAGGGACGACCTGCCTTCTTCAACACTTGAATTGTGGCCGTCTGTTGACCAATCAAGGAAATTTCATATGAGACACAGTATAGGAGAAATTTCATCTAATACTATTCTGTAAACAAAAGCAGTTTGAGCACAAGAAAAAAGATAAACAAGTAAAAAGAACCAATTAAAATAAAGGTATCAATCTTCTCCGACATTGCACCTTTTTAATAGGAAAAATCATTTTAAAAAAAAAAGGAAAATAAAAGGTTTAATATGATTGCTATTTGTGAACAGTCATCAATTAATTAATAATAACTAGATGGTATCTTCCCCTCAAATTTCCGTTTTAATTTTTGCTGTCTTTAGTGCTGCAAGTTGCACATTGAATGAAATTTAAATTTATTTTTTTTTCAAATGCAGTAGGTGATGCAACCCACACTTCGGGTACAGCTCTCCATTTTTCTATGGAGTGATACACCTAGATTAGACTGAGCCAAGGAACCAAACGTTAAAGAACAGAAAGATTGCTCTCTTTCCCATCACTCTGGTAGTCAAGAACGCAATGACTGAAACATGAATGACACACTAATGAGAGACCCCACCCCACCACATAATGAGCAACATTCTAAACATAATGTAGCTTAGAAAAATATATAGTAAGTGCAACATCTACAATTGATCCTCTAATAATACTATTCTATAACTTAATAGCCTCTAATAACTAATAATTTTTCAAGGAACCAACTTTGTTCCAGTGTATAATTAATAATTCCATTAATCAATAGGCTTATATTATTAATTATTAGAATAGAAAAATGCAACTTCACATGCACATAGAACATATAAGAATTAGTAGTAACTGTTAGGATTAGTCCACCCATGTGATAAAGGTTGATCCCATGCAGTTATTAGGTTGATATATACATGTATTTGAGTTAGAATAGTAGAGTATGTGTAGGATTTGGTTGCCTAATTCTATAGAACTAGGATTCTCATAGGTAGACTACTATAAATAGCCATGTGGACTACAGGTTTTTTATTTTTTAGAGAGATTGAGAGGGAAAAAATAGAGACAAGGGGTGAGAGAAAAAATATCGTGAAAGCACCGGGTGAGCAAGGGTTCTACCCTTGAGCATGGGGTTCAGGTAGTAGTGTAGGTCTTGAACATTTTGGCCATCTCACATGCAGTCTCTATTTTATTCATAGTAAAAGCTCTCTTCCCTGTGGATGGAGGCAATTTGGGCTGAACCATGTAAAATTATGTGTGTTTGATTTTCTCTTTCGTGTGATGCATGGATGGGCTTCCAATTGCATGGGTGGGCTTCCAATTGCATTGGTGGGATATGGTATAAATCTCAACAAGTGGTATCAGAGCTAAAGGTTACTGATCCTAGTTACGGTTGGTAAAGGCGTGGTTATAGCACAAGGACATGCACGAAGAAGAAGAAAAAATGCGACATTTTTTTCTTTTCGTCCTGCTGCAGAACACCATGGTACAAATGGATTGATGAAGACTTTGATTGGATAATGCAAGGTTAGGTTGTGGTTTTGGCTTGCAAAGAGGTACAATCCAATGTGTCACAAGCATGAAGTTAATGATTTTAAATTGTTTTTGCTATATCAAGGCATATATGTAGTAGAAAATTCAAGGCAAAGGTGGTTCTCGAGGATTTCAGGAGCTGCGGTTTCATCGGTACGGTTAGAATTTTTAGATTCTACGTGGTTTACTAAGATTGGACAGATTCAGCGGTAATCTACGTGATCGAGTTTGAACGTGGGTGATCTAGGAGTAATCTGATTCAAACAAGGAAATCTAGTCATTGTGAGGTCAATCAGACAACGTTTTTTTTTCTGATTGGACATCATGACTGACAACTTGTACAAGCTTGTGGCGTACGCCATGACAAGAGGGGAGTTGCTGTCATCTCAAGCATCAGACAAGTAGTACGAGTTATGAGTGAAAAGTGGTAAGCAACAGTTAGAAGGATATTTGGTGGCTACCAAGAGGAAGACAATAGGTTGCTAGATGTTCACAGAAGGAACGAGGTTAGAACTTGAGACGGTTTTACGACAAGGTGTACACAAAAGGAAGTCGGGTCTCTTTTCTATTGAGATTTGTTTTGTGGCAGGGGAGACACCATAGGGAGGTGGGTGCGAATCTCATAGGCTTGAGCACGAGGACAGAGGAAGCCATGAAGGACACGTTTGAGCACTATTGTGTGCTGTACAAATAACGTGGGCACTCGGTCCAGGGAGTACAACATCTTCTAGGTGAAGGTAGTGTCACATAAACCAGGGCATCTAGATTGGAGGGTACACAACATTTACCCCACATGGGTGGAAAGGGTGATTGTTAGGATTAGTCCACTCATGTGATAAAAGTGGATCCCATACAATTATTAGGTTAGTTTATACATGTATTTGACCTAGAATAGTAGAATGCAGAATCTACTGAGAAACCTAATATGTGTAGGATTTGGTTACCTAATTATATGGAACTAGGATTCTCATGGGTACACTATTATAAATAATCATGTGGACTATTAGTTTTCTCTATGAGAAATTGAGAGGGAAAAAATAGAGATGTAAAGGGTGAGAGTTGAATATTTTAGCCATCTCACATGTATTCTCTATTTTATTCATAGTAGAACCTCTCTCTCCCGTGGATGTAGGCAATTTGAACCAAACCACGTAAATCTCTATGTGTTTGTTTTTCTCTTTGGTGTGATGCGTGGGTGTGCTTCTATTCGCATTAGTGGGATATGGAATAAACCCCAATGGTAACATCAATTCATTAGTAATAAAGGAGATTAGGAACTTCATCAAAACTTAAATTAGATTACATTTTTTAATTGAGAAATATAACACCCTCAATAGGTATGTATGCATATCTTATTTTTATGCTCAAACATACTATGAGCAAGATTTGAGCAAGATTTTCTTTTGCCAAAAATTTAGTAGAAGCATAATAATTATATTAATCTATGTTACACGGACTCGGGTACAGATACCGGGTGCTGGTGCATATTTAGGGGTCGGACACTTCAAAATTAAAAATTAAGGATACATAGATATGTATCCACATTTGGATGCGGGTACGGGGATACGTTAAATAGTTTTTTTTTAAAAATATATATATTTATTATATGAAGATGAGTTATATTATATAAATAACAAATAAAAATCTATGAAGCACAGACACAGACATGGACACACATATGGACACAGACACAGATACGAGACATACGGGACACGACAATTTCTAAAAAATGGGGACACGAACACGGCAGGGAACACGGCAAATTTTTTAATTTTTTTATAAATATTTTTATTTTAATATACATTAATTATTTTATTTATTTATTATATTTTTTAAATAATGTGTTCCAATTAATTTTTTTATTTTATTTTACATACATGTGCTTATTTTTTTTTTTATTAATATATATAAGTATATATTATTTTATAAATATATTATATGTTATATAATAATTATTATATAATATATAATAATAATAGTTATTATAATAATAGTTATTAACTATTATTATTATTATATATAGATAGATACGAATAGATATGAATCAAGAGACATAGATATGAATCAAGTCAAGAAGATAAAACGACAGAGAGAGAGGGAGAGAAAAGTGAAGCGATCGATCGCGATCGTGAGAGAGAGAGAGAGAGAGGCTTTTCAAAGTCGTCTGGGGTGTTCGACTGTTCGATCGACTGATGGAGGTTCGATCTTCGACTAGATCGACCGGATGGAGCTTAGACTGGAGGTCTTTGATCTTCGCCTGGATGGAGCTTCGACCAGGTTCTCTCTTGCTCTCTCCTCTTTCATTTCTTTTGCTGTCTGTAAAGAGCCGTGTCCAAGAGAGAACAGGCAAATCCGACACAGATCCCACACCCGCACCTGTGTCGTGTCGTGTCGACACGGGTACTTTGCCCCAAAGTGCCGAGTCCATGTAACACAGCTATTAATTAACTTTTTTTTTGCATCTCCCAAGACTATTAAAGGCTGTGATGATTCCGTCAAGTTTTTGACCAATTCTCTTATCCCTTAACTCTTGCCAGACATAATTTCTCCATTGCTTTCTTTTTATGTAGATTGGTCCTTCAAAATTTCCCATATTTTGTGAGTGTTGAGGATTGATATTGCAATAAATGGAAAGCTTGCAAATCAAAGTTCCTCAGGTTCTTGTCTCACGGAATTCAATATTAATTTCCAGCTCAGGACACAGCGAGCCAGCAACACTACAATTCTAAATAAGCAATCTAGGATCCCCATTCCAATTTAAATCCTCTCTGCCAACATGAAGCACAGAACCCTTGATGGAGAAGAATATAGTTTAGCTTCAAGACATCTAACTGTTTGGAAAACAATAGTTGTTTAGGGTGGTTAACATGGCTAGATTCTTCACCTTATTTGACCTTTATGGGCTAATTTTTATGATATTTTGATAGTTAATGCTTACTTTTTCTGTAATTACCCTTTTTTAAGTTACCTTAGTTGATATTTTCCAAGGGGGGAGGAAGAATGGCACCTGTAATATTCAAACCTTATCTTATTTAATTGCTCCTATGAATTTGAACTAGAAAGGATTAAGTTGATAAGGTAACCGTTCAGCAGTTGTAAATGATCTCAATCATCTAAGAATAAAAATATGAAAAGATTTTGTGAACTAGGAGAAAGACACACCAGTTGCAGTTTCTGCTTTTCCTGTACTTGAATAGATCTGACAAGGTGAGCTAGATCATCTCGGAAGCAATCAGGGCTCAGAAATAGTGACTCCATTTCAAGGACCTTTAACAGCAAGGGAAGGCTGAAATCAAACAATATGCCAGGGAACAGGGGGACAAAAAAAAAGGAAAAAGGAAAACAATCTGAACAATGATGCTGCAATCATGTGGTAGACCTGTTTTGAACACTCATTGAATTCTACTGTGATCTCGCTGCAGAGTTGTTGGTAAACTGATTCCCCTCCTGAAACCATATAGTCTGCAAAACCCCTGTCAAATAATTTTCATGTACAAAGCAATATATAAGTTACCAACATGAGTTTATTTAAGATTGGATACTAGGATGTATGAAAACAGTATGAGAAAGGCTTGCATTCTACCTACACATGAACATACTCTAAAAAACAGAGCAAATTTGTTCCATATGCATGACAGAAAAATATGAGCACATTTGATAGAGCCTCATGGCTAATTTTATATAACACTTCTCACATCATTGAAAGACCTAATCAGCTTTTTCAAGTGTCATCAATGTTGTATTTTGTAATAAGACTTCTCGACAACATAGCTAGATCATTCCCAGGAAAATGAATGTGATATTAATACCCTTATAAGAGCTGTCAGCTGAGTAATACGACAGATTTCAAGTTTATCTTCAGCAAGTTAGCTGAATACGTGATGTAGAACGGAATAGGGGAAAAGGAAAGACAAACTCAAATTGGCCACAGCTAAAATCTCTCAATATTATTATAACCAAAACTAAATATTACAATGCCAAAAACCTAATATTTATAGACCAAACCTTAATTAAATTAGGAAACTAGATCCTAACATAATTTGGAAAACAAGGTCAAATATCCTAGGCAATTATTTACTTAAATCCTAGTTAAATAATAAAAATAGAAATCTGCCACTCACATTTATTGGACAAAAAAACCTTTGGTCCACGCAATGAACCCACAGGCTTCACCCCAAGCTTCCAAAGCAGATAGTATAAGGGTCACGCCATCAATTCTCCTCTGCCGAAAAGAACTTGATTCTGGCAAGTTGGCAGCATGTCAAAGAACCTCATCTAAAGAAACACGCCGAATCATAAGGAATTTTTCTTCAATTTAACAACTCTTGAATTGGTAGCACAAGTAAGAGTATATTTTTTTGAGCCATCAATAAAAGAATAGATGTTGGCACAATAAAAGAATAGATGTTGGCACATCTAGCATATACAAATTCATGTATGGCCCAAAAGAATATGACAAAACTTCAGAGGCAAAACATTGCACATTACCATCTCCTTGAGCTTGCCAATATTGAACATCATGAGGCACTGTTTGTCAACATTCATTTTGGTATTGGTGATCTATACCACATGATAAGGTTCAGAATGGGGCTCCACTTACAAACCCAATTTTTTCATAGCATCTTCAGACACAACATTAGTGCATTTCCTTGTATCAGTCAGCAGAGGGCACACTTGATCACGACAGTTCAACCTCTCATGAAAAACCATTCCTTTTTTGCAGCTTTTCATGTTCTTATATGTCATGTTTAGTAAAAGCCAACAAAGTCGAATAGTGCCAATCACATCATCACATAGATCATCATTGGACTCAGGATCAACAAGGTCAACTACTCCCTGTAGTGCCTTCATTTTCAACCACAGCAACTAACTTAATGGGCACAATTATCTTAGGAGGACAATCTCTAGCATGATGTCCCAAACCTTGGCAATTAAAAGAACCTGGGTCTGGTGTTACCTCTGTACAAAGAATGAGGACTGGGAGTAGTACGAGGTGACCTGCCAAGGAATTTATCATGGTTGGAATCCATAAAAGTCCTTCCACTCCTTGTAAGGATGTCAGTGCACACAGGAGTTCTATTTTTGTATTTCTTCCTCCATCTGAAGAGCTACAGCTATTTATACTGCATCTGCCATCAAATATAATCTACTATCAGCTAATCCACAAGAACTAAACGGATTTAATCCCTAACAATACATGGAAATCATTATATCCTCAGTCCAAGAAAATTCAAATCTAGTAACCACATTGTATAACAACCTGGTGTACTCTTTGTTTCCTTGAGTCAATTGAATAAACTGTAAGTAGGCTTGTTGCTTGTGGCTTAGTGGAACAAAGTAACAGTCATGCAAGCTTCATTTCTTCCCATGTTTGGATGACAGCATGATCCTCTTGCTAATATTTTTCCCACCAAATTCTGGTTGTGCTCTTCAACTAATTTTCGGCAAAAAGTAGCTACCTTTCATTAGTCACCGATACCAACAAAAAAAATTCTCCAAAGCTATGCATCCAATTAACAAATGACTTCGTGTTTTGATCTCCATTAAAATAGGGACTTTGGCACATGTGTCTACATCAGTTAAGCGATGATCCTCCAGCATTCCTTGGTGTTAATACCCAAAAATATGAGGTGGAGGAGCGATAGCCTTATCCTTTCCTTTGTCTGCCAAAACGGAAGCGGCTAATTTTTTTGTCTGCCAACACGGAAGCGGCTAATTTCTCTAAAGTAACTGGTACTTGTGCCAATGTTTTGATCATATGTCATCTGCATTTTTTATGTTTCTGCCATTGATCCTGTCTCATGCATTTGTTTATGTGATTTCTTCAATTCTTGTTGATCTTGGTGTTAAGTTATCAATTTTCCCAAAAAACATGAGCTATTAGGAAACGGACCCAACAATGTGCATCATGCTATCTAACATCCTCCCTCACATGCAACCCCGTCTTGCCATGGAGAGACAAACAAATAATTAAATAGAAGGATAAGCAAACAACCAAATAGAGAAGAAGAAACCAGACAGGGAAAGATTACAAAAGGATAAGCAAACAACCAAATAGAGAAGAAGAAACCAAACAAGGAAAGATTACAAAATGTCAACGGAGAGAGTTGAACTCAAGACCTCTCCCAACTTGAGCTCTAATACCATGTTAAGTTGCCAATTTTCCTAAAGCTTAAGCTATTAAGAAATGGGCTCAAAAATGTATATCAAGCTATCTAACACTTTGGCATGGGTATCAAATTTTGAATTTAACTTGGCGTTGGCAACCATAGCTAAAGGGAAGGAAGAGTGGTTGTTTTCTTTTTCTTTCAGGATTTGTTGGGATAGATTGGGTTGGGTTGGGTTTGGGGTGGACTAGTGTTAGGTTGGGCTGGGCTAGTGGGCTTGGTTGTTGACCTTTTATTTTATTTTTTATTTTTTTTTTGGGGGGGGGGGGGGGGGGGGGGAGAAAAACGAAGTCATCATGAAAGCCGGTCCTTTGGACCGGACTTAATTCCCAACAAGTCCTGACCCAAATAAATTATTCCCGCTTTCCAATTTTACCCCTAACTTCAATATTGTTTGAAACGTTTCCACTCCCACGATTTCTCATGTATGAACAAAACGCAAGAACAGAAATCTCAAGCGTGAACAAAAATCTCAAGCGATTTCCAATGAGATTTCCAAAGCGATTTTCACTCCAGCGATTCCAAAGTGAGAAGTTTGATTCCGGTGTGATTCTCCAGCGTGATAGCATTGTGATTCAAACAGTCATCTCCAACAATCATGCCGATAAAACGTAAGGAAACCCTATAATTTCTAACCTTTTTTTTTCCCATTTTTTTCTTCTTCAAAACCCTAGACAACGGCATTTTACTTCTTTTATTTCAAAAAAATCATTTAATTTCAAAATGGAGAGCATGTTTGTTACTCATGAATAGCATAAGTTGTGAATTAGTGAACATGAAGATGAAATCGAACAAAACTTTATCAGTAACACATTACATATTGCCCTAAACTAATAATTTCATTAATCAATAACACATTACTACTGTGTTTGGTTGAGGGATTTGAGGAGGGATTTGGAAAAGGAAATGGAAAAGGTAGGTGAAATGTGAAAAAAATATATCTACATTTCACATAGTTTCACACACCTTTTCCCTTTCTTTTTCCAAATTCCTCCCCAAATCCCCCTAACCAAACACAGCATACATGTTTGAAGAATATCTTTGCTTACAAGAGGTTGACAAATAGTCCTATCAAGTTATCTGATCTTTTTTATTTGGAATTCAGCTATCAATATTTTTCTAAATCTTTCTCTTACATTATGATATATGTCATGTTCTTCCTATAACAAAAGAAAAGTATAAATAGACTTGAAAGTTTATACAATGATAACTTTATCATTATGATATCATGTAGTCCCCATGAATTAAACCTAAAGCAGTTATTCTAGTCCCCACGAATTAAACCTAAAGTAGTTATTCTAGATAAAGCTTATTCCAGATGTGGGTGATTGTAAATAAATAATTATCAGATGGATATTTTAGCAATAGAGGGCATTGACAGAACATCAACATAGGAGACACCCACCCCTTGATGCTAAAATATCTAGTTCCTCTGATCTTCTCAATATCTCATTCTTTACTATTCTCAAGTCCCAAAACACAAATTCATTCCAAACCTTTAAATTATCCTTCGTTGTTCTGTGTTTCTTCATAAACATAAAACATTCCCAACCACGAATCCTATCACTATCCCACCACTATTGAAAATATTTTCTAAAAGACTAAAGCACCAACCAGATGCTTTCAAATCTAGGAGTAAGACTCCATTTAAAAGGGCAGCACTCCAGAACCATAGGACAGTGACATGATGCAACTCTAGGAATCACCTTTTGCCTAACATCCAAAAACTTTTCTTCCCTTTAACATAAAATAAAAATCTATCCAACCTGTTACACACACCAAACTAGCCTGAAGAATTGACTACGTTAAACAAGCATTAACCAAACGTGGGATCAATCAAGTCACAATCACTAATGAAATGAAACGAACCTAATGATATTAAAATCATCACAACACACAAATTAGGAGAGCACAATCCATAAAGACCAACTAATTCCTTTTTGCTCTTCTAGGCTCAATCATCTCAAATAGTTGCACCTCCTTTTCAACCCCATTACAAGACAACCCCATAAAGCAGCTAAACCCTTCATTCATTTGAGCACCCAATCGAACACCATTCTCTCACCACTCCCAACCACCTCTCCTTCCACCCTCAAAAGACCCCAAACCATTCACAAGATAGCCAAAGGATTGGTGGTTACGTCAACCCCCACCAAAAGTCCCCTCAACATCCTCCTAAGAAATTACCACCTCTTTACCCAGGTCATCAAACTAGGTACCAAGGCCCTCCATCCTTTCCGTCACCTCTAATCCCAAGAACAACACAACATCCATACCAAGGACCAAAGTCAAAGACCCAACATGCCCCTCCCTAACTCCTTTATCACAACCAAAAACCTCTTGTCCCCTTGCAACCCATCTGCTACTTAAACAATGGAAGCATCACCAAAAACACTCCCCTTCATTGCCTCTCTTGAGCTGAGAGTGGGATTAGATGGGTGCAAACGCCCTAATGTGTGCCCCATTTCTTGGGGATTAAAGCCATGAGAGAGGCATTCAAGTTTTCTCGTATTCATCACAATCAAAAAACGAAGTCATCATGCACAAAACATCTAACAACATCCCAACACTACTAAAAAAAGGAAATAGAAATCTGATCCGGCCCTATAAGCTTACAACCATTGAAAGATTTCATGGCCATGAAAACCTTCCTTCAACAAATGTCTATGAGACAACTCCAACTATATTTTGTACTTTTCAATTTTTTTTTTCTCCCCTTTATGGGACAATAGACGTGCATTCATTTGTCAAAAAAGCGGATTTATCGAGGAGTCAAGGAATTTAGGCCAAAATACCAAATGAAAGTAGATGTAAAACCAAATACTTCCTGTCGAGCTCTAATATGATCAGATTTATAAGTAAGCATCTCTTGTAAAATATGAGCAACACCTAGAAACAGAATTATGCCACTTAGGCTTATTATGTTATGGGATTTTATATAGAAAATCAAAACAAAAATGATTCAATTTCTACGATGAGATCTTTAATACTATCCTAGAAAATTCATGATTTTTTCCAAAAATTCTAACAATTGATAAGATCATATAAGTCTTTCAATATGAACTCTCAATTCAAATAGTGGAGTTTGGTTACATACTCGAACAAATAAAAAATTTCCCCTTGCAATTTGCAATTGTTGCCTCTACGGGCTTTCTTATAATTTAGATATGCTATTTTGGAGTCAATCTTTTAGGAATAGGGCTACATAGTTATGGTTCATTTACATTAACACCTAATTGAATTCAATAAAGTCTAACAATTATAAACAAAATAGAGCGTATAAAATAAAATTTGTGTAAGCCGGCAAGAACCATGTGAATCACTACGCTACTTGATTCAAATGGTTCTCATAAAGACCAAAAAACATTATGTGATTTAGATACCAAGGTGCACAACTAAAACAAGAACATTATCCCCAGTTTATGTATTATGGTTTTCAACAACCTTTATTTAAAAGAAAAAACAAAACAAAATGAAAAGTACAAAATGTAGTTGGAGTTGTAACAAACATTTGTTGAAGGAATGTTTTGATGGCCATGAAATCTTTCAAAACTAAGAAAGCATGGACAAGAATGAAATATCAAAAGCACCTAGGTCTCTCTCATTTCAGTATATTCATGTGGCAAGGAAGCATTTTAAGAGGGTGATCTATAGAACTTTTGGTGATTTAGAGGTTAACCAGGTTAAATCTTCTATATTTCCAACACATCCCCATGTCGTGTTGTGTCGTGTTTGACATGGATAATTCACAATTTTTTTGTAGACACCCTTGGAGGTTGGAAGACAGGTAGATTCCAATCTGCACCTTTTAGTTGACTCAACAAAGAAATATAAGAGAATGAAATTGGAAGATAGACAATTGCAAAATTAAAGCCAGACAATAGTATTGATATCTATCCCACCAGTTAGGTTTTAACATAGTTAAATTTTGAAGAACAAATAAATAATCAAAAAACATTTCCTCCATCACAGCTTAAACATAACTACATGCAATAAAATTTAATGTGACCCAAGCACATGTTTTTGAAATTACAATGTCATGCAAAACTCATGACAAGTACATACATGCAAAACTCATGACAAGTACATACATGCAAAAGAGTTGCATACATATATCAAAAATGTTTGGACACCCACTACAGTTAGCCTAGGCTATGAAACGCGAGTACTCTGAAAATGTTGCCGTACTCGTACCGGATACTTACCGGGTATTGGTACTCGTACTGATAGAGTTGCATGCGTACCAAGTACTCAAAATATGTACCAGGTACTTTTTATACGTTCTTTAGCAGTTGGGTACTCCACAGATACTTCATGGGTACGGGATGGGAACATTAGGAGTACACCAAGCTATTGGATATTAGTGGAGATGCGTTTAATTTATTAGAGAGTTCTGATTTACTTGAAATTGCAAATCATTTACTTGATATGTCAGAGATGAAAGATGTATTATTCAAAGATAAAATTGGTGGAAGTGAAAACTGAAATTTCAAGTTTTAAAATTTCGCTTAGCTTACTTTTGGAATGAAACTTCATTTTGTAATTTCTCCTATTTAATGGCATTAAAATAACTTAGAGACCTTGCTTTGGTATTAATATTGTTGAACTACAATTTTTTTTTTTTGGTTTTGTAATTTCTACTTTTGATTTGTAGATTGAATTTCAAATTATAAATTATAAGAAATAAAAAATTTATTGACGTACCCCAACCTTATCCGTATCCTATTTTTTTTAGGTATTGCCGTATCGGTATACCAGTATCGTACCCGTATCCACACCCACACCCGCACCCGCACGCGTGCATCATTGAACCTAGGTTAGTTCCCCCTCACATAGGAGCTGACCCCATCCCCATGTGAGGAGAGGCAGCAACCTAGGTGGTAGCTTGGGCGGTGTTGCTAGCAGGGTTTTACATATAAACCACAACTGAAGTAATATGCAAGTGGGTAATACATGCATACATACATTCTATACATATAATATATGAAAAAATTTGTATGCAAACGGATTTATTACCCAATTTTACCATTGGACATAAAGAAAATGGATAATATGGGTATTTATTAACATGAGTCCTATTAGGTTTGTATCTAATGGTAAAAAAAAATTTAAAAATATATCAATATACGTGTACTAGAATACATTTATGGGAAAATTACACTTTACCCGCATCAATTATGGGTCGTTATCATTTCACCTTCCTCAACTAAGATTTGCTACATTTTACTCCCTTGATCTTCCTCTTTGTTTCAATCCCAACCCTCTATTAATATTTTGATATGAAAGAGAATGAAAAATGGTATGTGAGCTGCACATACTAATTTTATTACAAAAATGCCCATTCAAAATCTAAATTATTTGTATATATCCCAAATGTCCTATGAAAAAATATGTGAAAAAAAATATGCACATGCTAATTTTATAACTAAAGATAAGTACAAATGATATGTCATAACAGAACATCAACAAGGTTGAGATTCAAAAAAATCAAAATAATATAGCAATTTTTAGTTGAGGGGGGGTAAACTGACAATGGGTCATAGTTGAGAGGGGTAATATATAAGACTTTTCAATTGGTTTATGCTTACACTATTTTAGAAAACAAAGATTATATAATTCGTTTGATGCCTAATAATACATGTTAGAAAAGATTCATCAACAACTTTTTCATTTGATTGGGTTTTCTATGAGACCAAACACAAGGGATCAAACTTGAGGAGGAATTTATATCAATAAAATAGATAAAGAATGCTTTCAAAAAGAAAAGAAGACGAAGACTGTGAGAGAGAGTTTGGGACCTACTTTTTAAGCTTTGCATAAGCGTGGGCTCTTCGCTCCTGAATTTCGAGGAACCTGCGAAGAAGACAGATGATTTTGGAGGAATCACAGCGACTATCGACCTCCGCCTCCATTGAATCTGAATTGGTTATTATCCTATTTTGAGTTTTTTGAATTAAATTTTTTAAAAATTAAATTTTATAATTTTCGTATTTTTTTGTTTTCAGTAAATATTTTTAAAATTTTAAACATTTTTTTATTGTTTTAGATACACCTTAGTAGATGTATCTAAAAAGTAAAAAAATTATGAAAAAATATTTTAAAAAATTAATAAATACATAAAAATATAAAAAATATACTGAATTCTCGTATTTTTTTTATATGTTTGGTATTTAGTAAATTTTTAAAAGGTTTTTTTATAAATTTTTTATTTTTTAAGTATATTTATGTTAGGTATGTTTAAAAAGTATAAAAAAAAATTGTTCAAAATATTAAAAAAAATCAGTAAAACAAAAAAAAAATACGAAAAATAAGAAAGTAAAATTTTTTAAAAATTATTTTTGAAAAGTGTAACCATGCAAAGTGATTATTTTTGTCTTTAAATACCATATGAATAATTACAAAATAGGCAGCAATCTAAATTAATTAAATTTGATTGGGAAGTTTAAAGAAAAAATACGTACACAAGAATTTGGCTTCTTTACACCAAATTTTTTTTATAATTAGGTGTCTGAATCTGTTTATGTGTACCTTAATTAATTTTGGAGGACCAATCATATCATCCATGTATAGGGATTCCATTTAAAGCCAAAGTAAAAACTATGTGTCGACTGGTTCCAACGAGCTTATTGCAAATCTGGAAGGAGCACACCCACAAGTCTTGAGTTGTGCCCACTAAGCCAACTCTTTAAGGTTTTAATACACCTTTTTTCTTATTACACTCATAAAAAATTTAAATTTTTATTTTATCTCTTGTACTCTTTATTATACCAATTTTCTCATTATTCTCAATCTCAAACTCTTTCCTTACACTATTTTCCTCTTTTCTATTTTTATTTTTACATCGTTCCACATTTGGTTGCCACTACGCCAACGGTAGCCATTGCTACCACCTCCAGCCACCAAATTCCAACCCTTTTTTTACCATGACCTCTCTTCTTGCCCCCACTCCCTCCTCCTCTCAGACTCTTCCACTAACACCATTTTCCAACTGACAACCCCCACCAATGACTCCATGTCCCAGCCTTCTTTCTCCTACTACGAACCCATCATCAAGAAATTAGGATTAGAGTTAAAGAAAAAGAAGAAGTAAAACGACAAAGTCACTGGTCCATTTGGTGATCAATCTTTAAACAAACACCATTGATTGGGCATTACAAACTTAAACGGAGGCCACATATTCGGCGCTGGTAATCGAAACTCTAGATACATATTGTACGCTCGTAAACCAAACTCTTTATCTCTCTTATTCTCTTTTCTTCATCTTTATCTTTTTCTTCTTCTTTCTAACCCTAAATCTGAAGCAAATTTACAGTGGTGGTCGTGACGATGGGAAAAAATGGTCTTTGGAGGTAGAAAGTTACAAGGTGAGGGTCATTTATAGTGGAAGAAAGATGTAGGCGTAATCGTTGAGGGTGTAAAGCCTAAGAGAGATGAGTAAAGTATTAGAAATATGGAAGTACTAGTGTTGGTGCTGGCAATGGCGAAGTATGATCCAATGGCTTGATGGAGTTGAGAGTAAAAAGGGAATTTAGATTAGGGTTGTGAACTAAAATGTAGTTTCCTACAAGGACAAAATTGTAATAAAACATAAAAAAATGAAGTTATAAAGGGATAAAATTGTTGTGTAAATAGAATTACCTAAAGAAAATTTGTAAAAACATTATTAAAATTACTTTGTTGCCCTCTCTCATTTTTTGTATTAATTTCTCTTAATTCTCTCCAATTAGTGGCCACCTTTCACCACTCTTCCCAATCACAGACCACCACTCATTTACCCTTTTTGGTCGTCTCTCCCCCAGTCCATTTCCCAACACAAACAACCGTCGTTGTTGTCATCTTCAGTATGTGTTGACCTTTCTAACCCATTTTCCTGCTACCTGTCCCTAAACCCCGTCAACTGTTGTAGTCCCTCTCTAACCCTTTTCTACATCCTTACTTATTTTATCATCGTTACCACTACCACCTCTAATACTCGCCTTCCATTTTCTCTTCCTCTTATCTCTCTTCACATCTATCTTGTGAAGTCCCGAGTTGTTGACCTAACTTGAGTGTGCCTTTCAGAACTACCGTCTTGCTTTTGGAGGATTGAGTGTCGCGTGATGTGTTAGTGTTTGAAAACTTAATCTGGATTACCCTTCTTGACGATTGAACAAGTTATAAATTTTGAGTTTCGGGCGTACGAACGAAAAACAAAGTCATGAAATCACATCGAGAAGATTGGGCTGGAACAGACAAGCCCGCACGTACAGTAGGGGGCCCCACGTGCAAGGAGTTGGGCTACACCATGCATCAAATGAGGGCATCACCAGGCACACACTGTAATGAACCGCACATGCGACTAAGGGCACCGCACTTGAGGCCAAGGGCTCCACACATACGAGACTTTGTGTTTTTTTGTCTCGAATTTCATGCTCTCTTCCTCAAAACTGATCTCTCTTTCTCACTTTTCTCTTAATTCCCTCTCTTTAAACACTCGCATCTCTCTCTCTCTTTCCTTTCCAAACAACCACCAAACTTCATGTTTTCTTTGTTCTATCAAAATAAGTAACATTTTGATACTAGTTCTCAAGGTCAAAATAATGACCGTGTCGAGGGCTATGTTTTGACCGGTGAAGATCAATTTCCAGCGAGTTCAAAACTGAGAATTTTTTATCTTGATTCTCCTCTTCTTTTCAAGAGATAGGGATTTCTTTGCTTCTCTTTAATACATCGCTATAGATAGCTATGTGGTAGTTTTGATTGCATAAAAATCATGACTTGTGAAAGGATTTTGAAATGCATGTAGAGGTGAGTAAGGGTTTTGACTTTACGATGTGTTTGGTTGAGGGATTTGAGAAAAATTTGAAAAGAGAAAGAGAAAATGTGTGTGAAACTAGGTGAAATGTAGGTATATTTTATTCATATTTTACCTAACTTTTTCATTTCCCTTCCCATATCCCCAACCAAACACAGTGTTAAAGAGTAAATCTCATGCTTTGGTGTTGATTATGAGAAAATTATGCTAATAGAACATGATTGTGATGATTTAAATAAAAAGCCCTAATTTTATTTATTTAATAAATTTGAGTATGAGATAAATTGATGATTTTAATAGTAATTGAACTATATTGATTATTGTGAATTAAAAATGTAAATTGTTATGGAAAGAAAATGAAGGGGTTGTCATGAGTTTAAATTATGACAAAATTATTGATGATTGGGATTAATGAAATTAATTATAGAAGTTATGTGATAATATGGTTGTTAATTTAAGTTTGGACAATGTGAATGATATTGAGATTATAAGAATCATATTGCATAGTTTATGAGTCTATATCGTTGATTGTTTAGAAGTTTCGCTCTTGGCCATCGATGGAGGATTGCATTATTTGTTATAGAATGGGTCGTGCATGTTTTGAATTGTCGATTTGTTTACGTAATTTAGAATGATGTGGAAACAAGTTGAACTAGATGATGAAAGTACTATATAGAGGTTCTGCTTTCCTTCTAGTTAGCATTCGGTAAAGCGTAGCGCATTGACATAGGTTTCGCTTTCTTTTCGGCTGGCACCCGATAAAGCGTGTGTACTATTGGGCTATATGGAGGTTTTGCATTTCTTGCAACTAGCCACCAAAAAAGCGTAGCACTTTGAGATAGGTTCTAGTTTCCCTTTGATTAGCACCAGATAAACTATGTTGAGATGGTTTGCGCTTCTAATGATGGTGTGACGACCCAGAATTTTTCCCTCCGCTCGAGCGGAGGAGTTGACGCTCGAGCGGACTTTTGGGGTTCGTAGCAATTTTGCAGACGGCCTAAGATTCTGGGAGTTGTGAATCTCCGCTCGAGCAGAGAAGTTGACGCTCGAGCGGACTGGTTTATTGGTCTGTGCGCGCTCGAGCGGTTGAAGCGACGCTCGAGCGTGGAAAATAGGATTGCCTTGGCATTGTATTAGTGTATTTGGAACCTTTTTATTTCATTTTGGAGTATTGATTGAGGTGGTATTATGATAGTAGGGTAAGATTGGACCAAGAACTTTAATTCGAACAATTCGTTTACGTTCAGCAGTCACTCTTTTGCCCCTTTCTTTTTCCACACTTTGAATTTGAATGTGAGGTTAGAACCATTGGAAAGCTTATTTCCGGGGCTTCAATTTGGACACAAGAACGACCTAAAACGGAATCCGAATGAGAGAGTTATACACGATTGAAGTTTTGAAATCTGTGCTGGGAGCATGTCCGCTCGAGCGGGAATAGGGACGCTCGAGCGCAAATAGCGGGCCAGCAGCTTCAAAAACGGGATTTTGGATCATTTCAGATATTTTTCTTCTTTCCTCTTCCTTCCTCTCTTCCTAAGTCCGAGACCCTAGCCCCAAATCCTTGAATTCCTTTACTTTGCTCACGATCCACCATGGTTTTTGGCATCAAGGATGGAGAACAAGGGAGGATCGATGTTTTTACCCGATTAGAACTTGGATTAGTGAAGGCTTCTTCTCAAGCTCACTTCTTTACTTGATTATTGAGGTAAGGGTTTGAATACTCTTCAATACTTATATTCATAGATAGATTTGTGACATTTTATTATCTAAATACAAAATTTCCATATTTAGAGCATGTAGTGTATAGTATGAGATTTGGGGTTTTATGGTTTGAAGATGTTGGGAGTTAATTAATGGGTTAAAATGGTGAATTATGAGTCCTAGGTGTATAATCAATGGAAAAGTTGGAATAAAAAGTGTTGGGTTAATAAGTTTGATTATTTCTTGAAATCTCCATATTTTCTTGAAACCCTAGATTGATTAAAGATGATAACCAAAGATTTAACCCAAATTGAAAGTAGAATAATGAAATTGAGGTATTGAATTATGTATATACAAGTTTAATTGGAATTTGGTGATACTTGGAAATTATGTTTAGAATTTGCGAATGAACTTTGTTATGAACACTGTGAATCATGT